ATAACATAACATAACATAACATAACATAACATAACATAACATAACATAACATAACATAACATATAACGTAACATAACATAACATATAACACAACACAATACAATACAACATAATATAACATATTACAATATAATACATTAATATCTAATAATAAAGATGGCATAGTGGTTAGTGTGCAGTACTGCAGGATATTTCAGCTAACTGCTAGCTGCAGTTCGGCAGTTCAAATCCCAAGGTTGACTCAGCCTTCCATCCTTCCGAAGTGGGTAAAATGAGGCCCAGATTGTTGTGGGCAATATGCTGACTCTGTAAACCTCTGTAAACCGCTTAGGGCTGTAAAGCTGTATATAAGTCTAAGTGCTATTGCTATCTATCCATCATAATTTATGATTGTCTAGAATGATTGCAGGTTACAATGTCAAGTAATATTGTATTTGCTCTCCATGGTTCTTAAAAATGCAAGCAATTCTGCTACTCCAAGGTAAACTAAAGGAAGGTAAACACAATGGTCAGAAGTGAAATTGCAGAATTGTTTTTGCATTCTTGATTAATGAGGGGATCTCACAATGTTTGTATACCTGACCCTAAAATCTAAAATAGTGCAATATGCTTTGATCTGCACTAGTGACTGGTGGGTCCTGCCACAAAATAGTATAATGTAAAGGGGTTTCTTCTGGATTCCAGCCAAGTGGCCAAGTTTTGTTTTCTACCAAGACATATTAGTCATCTTATGCTGATTTCCTAGTTCTTCCTTAATAGTCATTCATTATTTTATGAACACAGTATGATCTTTCCTTGATGGGTTGTTTTGTTCCCCCTCCCATATTTTACCTTTTCCCCTTAAATATTATTTCTTTTAAGTAATTAAAAATTAACTCTTGGTTTTCTCCTGAGCTGACAGAAAGCCATTTCATATAAATGGAGGGTAGCAGTTTTGTTGCACTGTATAAGGAGTGGAATGAATGAATTTTCTACAGTATTCCTATATAATTTTTTTTACTTCTCATATGGTGCTCAGAAATATTTCGTTTTCCTCTGATAAACTTGCAAGCACAATCTGTACAATTTCCTACAAGTCCTACTCCTTATTGTAAACTCTACAAGCTCTATAATCGTTATCTCTGACTACTATGGACACAAGAGAGCCAAAGAGGTTCCGAGGTGGGTAAAATGAGGACCCAGATTGTTGGGGTCAATATGCTGACTCTGTAATCTGTAAAGTGGTATATAAGTTTAAGTGCTGTTGCTATTATGTAGGAAAAAAAATGCCAGATCATGTTCTTGAATTGAGAGTTCAAATTATTATGTCAGGATAAAACTGTAGACTTATCTTTAGTACTCAAGGGTAGGATAACATTATTTAAAGAAAACAGAGAATACAATAGGCAAGATCTGAAGTGAAAGAATAATATTTTAGTGGATCCAGATGTTCACTGTTCTCTTAGGTATCCATTCCTAATCATGAGGTCACCAAATAGCAAAACATGCATTGTGATATTACGACACAAGCTTTCTCCTTTTTTTACATTACAATGTTGCACATAAATATGCAAAGGGTGGACTGTGCATCAGAATTTTGTAAAGCATGTTTCATTACGTGTCACCCAATCTTGACCACCACCAAAGATACCTATGTAGGTTCTCCAGACCTTCCAAACCAAAACATAACACTCCTTAGAATTTAGAACAAGTGGTTTGTTCTATCGTTTTCTAAGAATGGAAACTAGTTTAGTACAATAACATTGGTGTTAATAAAATTGCACATAGTGAGCTTTTATGTTGTGTTTTATCTTCAAGAGAACTATTTTAATTATTAAATTGGGGCTATTTTGCTTCACCTATTTCATTTTTAAAAGACTCAAATATCAGAGCCTCAAAGTATTTTCTCCAAGCAGAAGAGGAGCAAAATGGCTGACTCAGACCACATATTTGTAACACAATATTATATTAGCTTGCAGAAGTAGGTACATTGATTTCCATAGGACTTTCTCCTAGGTGAGTAGAGTTTTGGCCTCAGACTGTACTATGTACAGATCTGATTGTAAGTCACATTAAAATCAATTGGCCTTCCTTTGGAGCAAACATACATAGATTTGTGTATAGGATTCTAGCTTGCTGAACAGGGTGGCCTGTGTGCAGCTAGCTGTCAGATTGTTGTCCAATTCCTGTCTCATAAGTTTTTTAAAATGATATTTCTAATTACTGTTTGGCCATTGTAAAATGTTGATACTGGTAATGCTAATAATGTTGTAATGTACATGCCTGTTTTGGCAGCAGTTACAAAGTAGGTATTTCATAGAAGGATCTCCTTATCATACTGTTAATCCTCATATAAAAAGGCAGGTCTGCCATACAATTTTCTTTGTAAGTACTGATGTTGCATTTTAACAAGATTTTATTATTATTTTTTACATTACTTGTCTTCTTGTATTCCATTGGAGCCTTTTATCAAAACACCTACCATGAATGAAATAAACCAAATCGGATGGAGTTTGCACTAAGAAATAACAAAAATATAATTATAATTTCATTAACTTTGCCCAGCTAGTATTTTAAAACTATATTACTGTTTAGAGAAAAAAAGCTCCTTGTACTTTTGGAGCTATCATTATATCAGAGAAGTAAACTTTGCCATGTGTAACAAACCTCACACATTAGAATACCATTGAGAGGCTTAGATTAAAAATTGAAATCAAAGTAATTATACTTGTAAAAGTCAATCAATCAGTGGTTTAATACTCAAAAAACAAAAAATATACTTTATTACAAAAAAGTAAATCTAATGGGAAATATGTGCATACTTATATTTTCTCAGATATGGCAAAAAAAACCCACAGAATATTGTGAAGTTATGATGCACTGAATTGCTCTGTATTCTTTTTTTAATTCAAGTCAAAAATTCTTATGAAAACTTTAGCTTCTCATAATGTTCAGAACTGAAAGTGTATGATAGTATAACAAAAGTTGCAATTCTCAGTGAGTAGAACAACACTTACGGGACTTTTGGTATAATTTGTCTTTCTTCTCTTTGAACAGGGAAGAAAATATTTATTTTTTATTTAATATTTTGATTCCAAAATAATTTTGGAGAGTTGACAAATGAAAAGAAAAAAATCAGCAAAAAGCAAAAAAACATACAGTTAAATTTCGACACCTACCCAGGCTGACATATATTCTATCTCAGGCATGAGAGTAAATGCAAATGTCTTTGCTTCTAATTTGCGGGGTTTGTAGAATTTAGCCAACCTGAGAAAATTTTAACTGTGATAAAATGGTATAACTCGCCTCCAAGAGTCCCATAGACAACTTCTTTATGGCCATTTTTTAAAAAGCTGATGTTGGTGATTTTCTTTGGCTTCAATAAATTGTTTTATGGGAACAATCTTGTTAGGATGGCAAAATGGTGCTTTCTTAACTAACACTACTAACAATCTTTCAAGGATTGTAATAAACGTACATAGAATAAAAGTTAAATAGCTAGAAAATGTTGCACAAATGTAGTTTATGATTAGTTGCTAGATATAGCCAATTGAATATTATCTAGCGAATATGATCTGCTTCTCCTGTTCTGTTGTTGTGGAAGGAGAGGAGTTTGCTTTGCTTCCTGGGCCAAGAAAGACATAGCAGATAGATAGGAGATCAAGAAAAGTCTAAATTTCTATTGTCTGAATCACTCAAAAGGGACATAGCTTTTACTCTGAGAACTTTTGAGTGTGAGCTTTTGTGTGTGTGTGTGTGTGTGTGTGTGTGGCACTATGGCATAGCTTCCTCTGGTAACTATCTAACAGGGACGTGCAGTCAGGGGAGGCAGGGGAGGCAGAGCCTCACCACTGTCATCATGAAAAGAAAAGAAAATGTAAAAGGAAAAAGGCAAGAGCTGGGGTCAGGCTGAGCTAGTTGCTGCCAGAGTCACCATGGATGACTCTGCTTAGTGCTTAACTGTTTAAAAAAGCCTCTAAAAAAGTGCCCTCTACAGAAGGCGGCAGGAGAACCACGTGCCTCATCTAGTCTGACTTTATGATCACTTGAGCAGAGTTAAGCAAGGGTTAAAAGCCAAAAAATCCCTGATGTAGATGAGGCACGTCGTTCTCCTGCCTCCTCCTGTAGAGGGCGCTTTTTTAGAGGCTTTTTTAAACAGTTAAGCACTAAGCAGAGTCATCCACGGTGACTCTGGCAGCAACTAGCTCAGCCTGACCTCGGCTCTTGCCTTTTTCCTTTTACATTTCCTTTTCTTTTCATGATGACAGTGGTGAGGCTCTGCCTCCTCTGCCTCCCCTGC